TTTTCAGAAATAGCTCATTACTGAATTTACGTATCTGCTTAATAGGAAATTTTATAACAAAAGGACTTTGTAATTTAAAAAAAAGAGGCGTAATGAATAAATACGAGAAAAAGAGTTGGCAAGTATCGATTAATCCGAAGCGATAGCTCGCAGCACTACTCACCTGATTTGGCACACTTTTTTGGGTGTTATTCTGTGCTGTGGAACTGTGCGCTTCCGGTTGAATGTTCGGAACGCGATGACGTAGGAAAGGCGACGTCCGATAGCCTGCCGGACGTTGCGAGAGGCGCAAAAACCTTTCCATGTTGAATTTTTTGCTGTGAATACTGTTTCGGAGGCTTGGAAGTGCATTTGCTGGAAGAGCTGATGATTTCACGCTACTTGTAGTTGTTGCTTCGTAACGTAACAGTGAAGGTTCTTTGTCGATTTCTGCAAATAAATTTTCTATAAAATTCATTTAAATTTAAAACATTTGCCAGTCCGCCAAATAAAAAAATCGATTCAAGCGATTCGCCAGTTCGATCTGATGCCAAAGTGGTGATACCGCTAGAGAAACAGAGCTACCTTTTGACTGCTTTATAGCAGCCCTCGGTAGTTGGATCCATCGTCAGGTTTATCAGCTATCTTTTCTTCTGGTAAATTGCTACCTCTCGGCCTACTTTAGCTTCGCTTCGCTTCTCACCGAAGTTGCAGTGAGGATGGAATTTTGATTTTCAACTTTTTAACATTTTGCAGCCCTGCTGCTTGTTTCCTCTGAACGTTTCGTTGCGAAAGTTAGTAGCATTGGTAGCAGCGATCGGTCTTATTTTTGAAAAAATAAAATTAGAAGATTCACTTGGTGTCGATTTTGAGCAGCACAGTGGTGGCTGTGGCACATTAACCTTTTTCGGACACACATCTTGCATATCGTTGGTGTAGTTCGTTTTACAAATGAGATTGGGCTCCGTTGTAAGGTTGATTGCCTCTTTGCCGTTCATCACGTGAAACCCATCTTGTAAGCAAACCATCGGGTTTTCTGCAAAAATAGCTACTCTGTTGGCTGGCACTTTTCAGATTAGTCACAGTGTTTGCTGAGAACTGATTGTAAATCGTAACGATAAAATAAGGAAGATTTTTGAGAATGCGAGTTAAGTAACGCCAGTAGCCTCGCTCATTTTTTTCTGTGCAGAACGAGGAACTTTTACATTACAAAACCTTGCCAACATTTCGGGATATCGCAAAAAATTTTTCAAGGCCAAAAAATCAATCCTTTTTCTAAAGCTAAACTGTTGTGATTTGTGCAAGTAAGATTGTAGTAAATGCTCAAGGGAACCTTGTAATCGAACCATCAGATAATCGGAGCCAATAATAGCGCCTGATTCAAGAACTTGAATTTTATTGTGAGATAAATCCAGAGTATGTAAGTTAGCCAGGTGCGCGAAACTGAGCGGCTGAAATAGGATCAGCTGGTCAGGAGTAGTTGGAAAGCACCTTCTGAAACTAGAAAGTGACAGGGGTTTCCAGGCTCAATGCAGAATGAGTTTAAGTCGTTCAGAGTGAGGTCGAGGTTGTCTGTTATCTTCTTTTTAAGCTTCATTTCGGACTTTTCAAGCAAATATCTGGAAATTCTTTACTGATCTCTGAATTTATATACCTGAACAGTGCGGATGTTGTTGTTGGCAAGCGACATTTGGCGTAAGAATGGTGCACCTTGGAACATATTTGGTGATACGGTTTGCAAGCAGTTGTTAGGTAACCATAATAAAAGTAAAGGCGTTGTCGCGAATGCTCCCGGTGCTATATCCTGAAGGAATTTTGGATTTAAGAAAAAGTGTTCGACCACAAAATATTTGAGGGTACCATTCCGGTTTACGTGTCAAATTTTGTTCTGCAAAACAACTGTGACCCCATTCAGCCTAATAGTTCAAGCCTAGTTGAAAGTGACCTCTAGCTGTTCACTAAGGTGCAAGAAATTCTTCTTTTGGGACTGCAAGAAAGGAAGTCTTAAGCTTCCTTGCAAAACCTTTTTTTCTTTGTACTTTCATCTCCAAAATATCTAAGCGGTTTTTGTAACCCTCGTCTCCTCGCAAAAAAAAATCGTCTTGGTAGTATTAATAAATCCGAAGTTTTGTAAATACCGCTGAACTTATAGCCCCATAAGCGCACTCATTTCTCGCATCAGTGCAATTAATGCTTGGAGCCTATCTTTCACATAAATAAAATTTTTATTGGACGAGATGATTAGTACAACCTTGATCTGGTTGCCTTCGAGGTTCAGATGTTGCAGGTGTTCCAATCCGGAGAACATATCGTCCGTTATTTCGGTGAAGTAGTTATAACTCAGGTCGATCACCTTAAATATTCCAAGTAAGACTGGAATAAAGCATTACAAAGAGTATGCAGTTCAAGCACCATATTTTATTGATTTTTTTAAAAGCACATTTTTTTTTTTTTGGTTTTTTTTTTCTCGGCTCTACTAATTTGCTGTTCAGACACGCCATTCACATGATAGGCATGCGGGCTGCATTGATCACGATCGAGAGCTAAATTCATTGAACAGGGCATGCTTCAGCAAAAAAATGTGTCATATCAATTAAGGGAACTCGTGAGCAAAAAACGATTACCCAATCGGCAGTTAAAAGGGCGGTACGTACGCGTAGATGCGATGGTCTGAAGACAAGCAGTTCAGGACAACAAAAGGCCACTGGTTCTTTTGCAGTAATAAAATATTTTATAGGCCGAAATCTGGGTATTTTCTAGAAAGTGAGCCAAACCTGGACTTGCTTGAATTGACTCATCAGGTGAGCTTCAATCGTCGTTAGATTGTTGCTGCCCAAATAAAGGTACCGTAGATTGTCGGCTTGTGGCATAAATTCACTCTCGATTGTGTTGATCTTATTCCCGGTAAGTGACAGGATTGTCAAACTGCTCAGATTTGTTAGCTGCATTTTCTCCAATCGTTCAATCTAAGACTGCCCTTATTAGGACCACTGATGCCAAGAACATCTCAATGATTTCAGTGCACTTGAAATTATAAAATCTGAGAGGGAGCAGTTGCGCACCCATCTGAAACCATTGACGGCTGACTTATTCCTGATTCCCATAATAGTAGGCGCAGCCTAAACTTGACACCCTTGCAGCAGCTTTCATGCATTCTTGCACATATGAAAACACCGCATGCGTATGCCCGACTGTTGTAACTGTAAAACTACAGACAGCTCAGAAGTTGAAATATGCGGAATAGAAAGAGTCATATTTCTAAAGCCAGTTTTCAGGTCGCTTTATCCCTTGGCTTACGATCTCGGGTCTTCGTTCAAACTAGTGTTATTAAAACTAGTGTACCTTCCCTTCTTTCTCTCCGTTTCTTTCTATCTTTTCACTTTGGCACATTTACTGTTTCACATGATGGTTTTGGGGGGGGAAGGG